AACATACATATAAAAATTTTATATCATTCAAGCATAACTTTTTGAGATATTGTGTTTTGCGGTAAGAAAAAATGTAAAAAAATTCATTTTGAGAAAAACGACAAAAATAACATTAAACTATTCTGATTACAAAATAAACACTTACTTTCTTATTAAAATGCACCAGATTTATAATTCTTCCCATCTTTGACTTCTAAAACACTAAATTTTTCTTTTTAAGTGCTCTTAAAATTTTCCTGTTTTTCTTTGTTTTGGGGTTTGCATTATGAATTGATTCACGGATTCTGCATTTATCTAAATGTTTATATCCCCTTAAGGTAAACACCCCAGGATTTTCAATATTCATTTTATTAAAAACTTTTAGACACCCATTTAATTCTTTCATTGAAGTGTATAATAGCATCATACGACCCAAATTTAATTGTTTTGAGCGAAACAAATACTTCCTTCGGTACTTTTTGCCAACTATTCCATTAAAACACTCATTTTGCGTGCGTCCATGCAAGCACTTACTTAATATTTGTTTGTCGCATAGTTCTAAATATACTGGTTTAATTTTATTTAAAACATCATTTGATATACCAGCATATTTTGTGGAACATTTTGTTCCATTTGGCACCCCCCGCTGAAAATAACACCAGGTTTCTTTCCCTATTGGCCATTGACCATGCATCGGTTTCTTATCACTTGATGCACAGTGATATAACGCAGCAATTACATTTTGCTGCATGGCAGTTAAGTTACCGACATTGCTGCGAACAGCAATTCCGTAGTTTTGAAGTCGGTCAATAAAATTATCAGTTAATTTGCCTTTACCAGACAGTCCTTTAGTTTTAGTTTTCAGTTTTCTCAGACGCGAACCCACTCTCTTTTGTACATGGCCAATGCCCTCAAACTTGGTCACACTGTTTAATCCGTAAGTGTCTTTCACACTCATGAAGGCTTTTGAGTCGCCATCCCCATAATATTGAGTGTATTGCAGTCTGCGGTTTTTTTCAGATCGAAGAAATATTCAGGAAGCCCCCACAATTTCCATTTTTGATGAAGAGCCTGTGAAATTACACTGACATATGTGGTCGGCTTTTGACGAATCATGTTCAAAGTTTCTTGGCATAGTCTGAAGTCTCTTACATGTTGGACAGTAGGACGACATAACTTCTATGTCTAACACCTTACCAGTATCAACTGATATTGCAGAAACACAGCCATTCACAGATGTATAGCCTTTCGCTGCCATGTGCCATCCACCTATATGCCACATTTTACAATATCGGATGAGAGATTTTGTTGTTTCTCCACAATTTCAGTAGCAGCTTTTTATCGTGGATTCCTCAAATTTCCTGAACCACTTTTAAAAGCTTTGCTTCCTGATTTTTGTAAAGTTTTGTTAGTCGAGGCAAATTTAATGTTGAGCATAATTTAAATGCCCCAGCAAAACCTTTGCCTATCTGCCTCATACCATATACTAGCCTGGTATTTATGACAGGTGCATTTACAACTTTTTTTTGATGAAGCAAATGCAAAAAAAAAAAAAGTCACAACACTACATTTTAGTGTAAAATGGGAGCACAATCCATATCTGGAATCCTCGAATAGTTCTACTTTTTTCAGCAAAACATTTGAGCAGCAAAGTTGAGCAAAAAGCTTCCACAATAAGTTCAAGGTCAACGATTCTGTTACTAAACACAGGACCAGGCATTTCTTCTGCAGTTGAGAAACTTTTTTCCCAACTTTGAACAGCTAGCAGTACATTCAGGAACTGCTGAAGTGTTTGTGAATTTATTACCATAAAATTGCCACTTGCGCTTTAGCAATACTTTTAACCATTTTTAAGTTAAAATAAAGCAGAATAAAAAATAAAACAATCAAATAAACTTTTTTTACGCTGTCAATTCTTTCAGCATGAAAATCAAACGCATATGTAAACAAAGTCAAAAACAACAAACTTGCTGCCAGGTTTTACTCATAAAAAAGGAAAACTGTATTTCCAAATACATTTATATTTATTCTTAAATGTTCTATTTTAATTTCTGACTAAATATTTGTATATTAATTATAATATTTCATGTTATATTTTAAAAGAGAAACATAAACAAACAACTCGGCCACTTCCGGTTAGCAGAAACTATTTCGGGTCCGAGAAATTTATGATTACGCACTTGTAAAAGCTGTAACTCGGCTTCAATTAAAATAGAAACAAAATTTTAACATATTTACAAAGATAAAAGATTTAATTTTAATATAAGACCAAAAACGAAAAATCGATAATTGACCAAAAATTGAGTTTTAGAGGTGTTCTGTCACCTTAAGATAATGAAGTTCAAGCAAAGAAAGAGACAAAAGCAAAACAAATTTGACTTATTTTTAAAGTCTATTTATTAAACAAATGTTAAAAAGCAAAAAAAAAAAAGCTATATGTTTGACATAATTAATAAAAATTGCGATTTTTACTCCCTGAGCAAATTTCAAAAAAGAACCTATTTAGAAAAACAGTATAACATGGTTAGTATGATGGTTAATACTTTCTCGAGTATGTTGTGCATTTACAACGCCTAGGCATGCTGAGTATCAAATTTTCTATCTGATCTTGTGGAATATTACACCACTCATCAAGCAATGCCCTCCGAAGTTCCGGTAGACAAGTGGGAGGAGGTTGACGGGCTGCAATTCGTCGGCCAAGCATATCCCACACATGCTCTATTGAATTCAAGTCCGGTGAGTATGCTGGCCAACCCATACGGGTGATATCCTCCGATTGAAGGCATTCGTCTTCAATGTTTGCACGGTGAGGACGGGCGTTGTCATCCATAAACAGAAATTCAGCACCCATGGCGCCCCGAAATAAACATGCATGTTGTTTCAGAATGGCATTCCGATAGATGTGGCGTGCCATCGTTACACTCTGAATATGCAGGTCAGTTCTGGAACCAAGAATAATTCCTCCCCAAATGAGCCATCCTGCACCACCGTAACGGTTTCGTTCAATGGTGTTCTCTTGGTGGTAACGGGTACCTGGTGCTATCCATATTAAAGTCCGGCGAGAATCAGGCTGCAAACTAAACCTGGACTCGTCGGAAAACATCACACAAGACCACTGTTGTGATGTCCACAATGCATGCTCTCTACTCCAGGTTAATCGCAGGTGACAGTCAGTTGCGGTAAGTGGAACACATCTGACGGGCCTACGAGCTTATAAACCAATGTGGCCTAAATGTCTGTACACAGTCTGCCTTGAAACTGTCGTACCGGTAGCTGAAGAGAGCTGACGAGACAGGTCTGATGCTGTGCTCCATCTGTTTCTTTTGGCAGTAATTGCCAAATATATACCGGTCCTCATTCAGGGTTGTAACTCTGGAGCGACCTGTGCTGTAACATCTACTCACATTACTATCATCTTGGAATCGTTGCCAAAGCCTGGAGAGGGCACTCTGAGCCATTCCAAGTTCCTCGGATACTTCCAGCTGGGTACGTCCACATTCCAGTCGTCCAATAATTCTACCACGTAAAAAATCATCCAAATGCTTCCTTTGTGCTATAACTATGCGGTTATTGCACTGAAAGGCCTTTAAAGCGCTTGTGAACAATTTTACTTCTTTGCCACCATTCCTTATATACCCCTCTCTTACACTCTCTTCATTGTGACGTACTATCCGTGCCATCTGGTGGTTTCCTGTAATTTGCATATTCTTCTTCAAGATGTGTGCGATAATTCTACAGGTGAAATTTTTATTTTAGAGTTCAATTTCTGTGTGATTCTGAATTAATCTTAATTTATGGACATGAGTGTATATAAATACACTAGCTGATACCCACCAGTTTCGCTGGGTATTTCATTACGTTGTTAAGACAATATAATAAGAATTTGTTATCAAGCCCAGCATTAAGTATTGTTATTTTATTATAGGTCTCAGCATTAAGCTTTCCGTCGTGCAGAAACACATTCCTAAGGCCCACGCCTCTTGATTTAAAAAGCATAAGGATTTGAGTTTTTAAATCGAATATATATTTGTTATTTACGCCCTATAACCCTTCCTCAGAGTCGATGCCCCAAATAAATTGTTAGCGGATCTCTGCTCTACAAAAAAACATGCCTATCATATTTCAAGTTTGTAGGTATAATAGTTCAAAAAGTTTTTATGATATTTAGCATCACTTTGAGAAAATTTTTTTTACCTATAACTCCCCCTCAAATTCTACCGGGAATTAATTTCCGTAAAACCCGTTTTTAGTGGATTTCGACTCAACAAAGTAAAGATGATTGCTTAATTTCAGGTCTGTAGGCCTTATTGTTCAGAAATAGGATTATCTAATCCATTTATGCATTTATAACGCCGGATACAACCTTATTGTTCCCTTTAGGATTTTTAATCTGTTGATCTTTGTAAAACCCGTTCTTAGTGGATCTCTACTCAACAAAAAAAAAAGGAATATGCCTGCCAAATTCCAAACTTGGAATGTCTAATAGTTACGGAAATATCGTGGTTAGGGAGCGAATCTCTTTTCGCCTATAATTATTATTGAGATAAATTAATCTATTTTGGAGAATTTTCTAGAATGCAGTACCAATTCAAGATACTTAAATAATGTACAAGAATTAGTAAGGTTTTTATAGATTCTAAGCAACTGTTGAAGGCGGAGAAATAATATAAACAATTGTAAGTACTCTATTCTTAAATTGATTTGAAATATTTTTATAACAAGGACATAAGAATTATTTAAGCAAGTAATGCATAAAAAAATTAAGTCAATTCCTACTTAGGTTAGCACAGATTTTTTTTGTTTTATTTGCTTTTCATTAAATAGTTACAATTAATAAAAATATGTATATACATATGACAGAATTACAAAGTTAAGTGACAAAATAGAAAGCGACTTTCCTTGCAATTTTTCATTTTCTTTTCTGTATAGCGTGTTGGACTATTATTTATTCAAAAATTAAATTTAATTATATTAATAAAATAGTATAGTAAAAAAATGAAATCCATTCTCAGAAATTAGGCCATCCCAGGTGGGATTAGAACCCACGGTATTTGGATTAAAAGTCCAACGCGCTTTCCATTGTGCTACCGGGATACAACGAACGATTTTCCTTTTATATATGCTGTTGGACTATTATTTTTGTTTGTTACTATTTATTCATTTTTTAATTTAATTAACGAATTAATATTTGAAAAAACTGCATTAACATCAAGTCTCATCCACTACAAGTTTTAAAAAAATGTATTTGAACTCGAATGGATGAACAGAATGTATTTTATCAACGATTGAAAATTTGAACATCATATATAAATATATACAGGGAAAGAGTGAACGAATAGTAGAAATTGAAAAAGTGAAATGGAGGCTTCGTTGTACTGACAATACCTATTATTTTCTAACATGAGGCTTAGTGTGTTGGTATGTTTTTAATATATTCACCACAGGAATAATATGTCTAGTTCAGCGTTTCTCAATGTGTGGGGCGCGTCCCCCTTGGGGTAGGGACTGATAACTTTATGAGGGGGGCGCGAGCATACTGAAAAATAGAAAACAAAAGGTTATTTAAAAAATTATTAATTTACTGAAAGTTAACAAACAAAATACTTACTGATACATTAAAATTCATTTAACAATGCTAAATGTATATTATTATTCATTTAACAATGCTAACTTTCTTAAGAACAAGTTTGATAATTATCAGTGACCCATGGGCAGGTATTAACACTTATCTTGATAATTTATACGGTTTATAATTAATTCCTTAACTGCCGATTAAAAGTTACGCGATTCGCTCCCCAAAGTACAACCATTTACCACGTAGACAAGCATATTTTGATGTTGTTTTGAGAGGGAGGGAGAGGAGAAAATAAGTAAAGAAGCAAATCCTCTGAAGTAAGTAAACCCTTCGCAAACACTGTCAAGGTCCTTTCATTGCATTCTAAACCCTTCAGAATAATTTTATGGATAGCACTGCACAGAAAAGATCGTACTTCGGAAAGACGTATATATACGTCAAGAAAATTAATGCTTTGGCTGAGAGAAACGTTTATATACGTCAGTGGCACATAAGTGCTTAGTGTGAAAGTATAATATTATTGAATTCAATACAATGTTACTGTATGGATGGGGGCGATCAAGATGATGATTGAATATTGGGCCGCGTATATTGAAAGTTTGAGAAGCACTGGTCTAGTTATTAAAGATCCGATTAAAGTTCTGACGCAATTTCCAAGGAATTTCTCATAGTAAATGGTTCTTATTGTATTCTCCGCATGAAGAGTATGTTTAGTTTTTTAAAAATATCTGTCAAGTTCTGAAGTATTTCGAGGGGAATTTACTGTTGTGAATCTGACACATTTATCAAAAGTTCAATCGAAGTTAAAAGGAATGATGAGAAATTTCGAAGTATTCTCTGGAAAGTGTGAAGTCTGGAAAAATAACTCACAATGGAGCAGAGAATTGAAAATGCAAGAGATTTGAAATGAAGTGCTTTGACTCTTCAACTTTCGACCAAAACCTAATTGCCCTGTCAAATCCCATCGTCTTCAAAAATTACGTACATTGTAATCTATTGAATGGGTTCTCTATAGTGTCCTGTGCTTTATCTATTGATTGGAACTTCCATCTGTTCGACGATGGGATGTTTCAAAAGGCGTCGATCAGAAACAGAGACTTTTTGCAATACAAAAACCCCTCAGCCTTTTCTCCACCCCTATGTACACAGACCAAACACCCAAAATCATTGAATAATAACAAAACGAATAACTTCTTTGTATATTTGAAAACCAATTTTAAAAACCATCACTGTCAATAGAACATAAAGGAAATAGTCGGAAGGGGTTCTAACATTTCGATAACTGTCGATGACATGTTGCAATCTCACATCACTTCACTTCTTTCTCGGAAACAAAAGATGGCTTGCCAAACGATGTGAATACACCGTCCTCCGGGATACAGCGAAGGGAAACGTAACCTCGCTTTCTCAACCCGATCGTTTATCAGCGTTAATAAAAATAAATCGGCTGTGCATAAAGGAAGGGAAAAAATACTTCTACTTCAACTACGAGTAAGGCAAGAATGGTTGCTTTTCGAATAACCGTAAAGATGGGTTCCCCTCTTATATCAGTTGGGTCTGACAGTTATGTTGATATACGTTGAAACGTTTCATAAACTGTCTTTATATTTATATCTGGATCCATGTTGGGATGCTCTCATGTTGCAGATATTCTTTTTTTTTACGAAAAACCTTTATATCATCATTGTGTTGCGTGAAAGAAAGGCTGGAATGGAGGTTGGGAATTTCCAAGAATTGACCCCAAGTTCTTTTGCGCTGGTGTAGTGTACGCATTTGTTCAATACAGCATTCAAAAAAAGAAAGAAAGAAAGAAAAGATTCATGAATAATACGAATAATATCTACAGTATAGTTATTTTTCTATGAATAAATGTTTATAATAATATCTAATAATTCAAATAAATTTATACCAATAAAGGAGCATAAAAGTTAATAAGAACATACTCAACACACACATTGGTCATTTTTATTTAAAAATTCAATACCATAAGAAAATCAGAACAAATTTCTTGAGACATAAAATGAAAGTCACTCAGCAATTGAAAAATTTATTCTCTAAAACTTAAAGTCTCTAAAACTTAAACTTATGTGTGTCTCACAAATACTTCTAATTTAAACTGTATGACAGAGGGTATCTAGTGGTCAAGTTAACGGAATTGTGTCAGGATTTTGAGCCCTAGCGCCGCTGAAGACACACCGTGTAGAGAGGAGAGATACACGTTAACCCTTTATCTACCGACGGTACTTATACGTACCACTCATTTTAAAATTACATAGAATAACCCTTTTTACGAATATTCTGACGATATTTAGCAGGAATACTCTTTGAAATTCACTCTTCTAAGATATATGGCTGCACCGGTTCTATGATGAGTATTTTAGCGGAGAAGGCGAATAGTTTTATAGCAGAAATTAAATTGCGTTTTCAGCTGACTGGGTTAATGTCGGATTGGAAAAATGACCATTTTTGTCCCGAAAAAATATTTTATGTCAAAATTTAAGTGTCTTACTTTGTTTGTATGTTAATGAAGACCTCAGAAAACGATTTGACTATTTATTTTAAGTGAACAGTGTATATAATTAATTTTACAGTTGAACATCTTTAATTAATTAATTATCTCTAACGGATTAAATTTCCCAAAGTGGAGTATTTTGTTTATGAATATCCGTTAATTTTCCGCGTAGTGATCTAAAAAAATATTACATGAAAAAAAACTGCAGTAAATCAATACAGTAGATAAAGGGTAAAATTTGTCGAGGCCCCAAAGTCCTCCCGTTGGTGTAGTGTGGAAGTTAAGAGAAGTTCCAATTCAGGTGTCGTCCTCCTCACTTGACCATAGCTCAAAATTCCGAGGTCCGTCGTCAATACCCCTCTTGCAACTTTATAATGCGACGTTAAAAAATGCTCACTCACTAGATAGATGCAAAAGTCATTCCAACTGTAAAAAAAGTGCGTGTAACAAAAGTATACACATTTCTGAGGAAAAACTTTTACTTTTAGTCAAAGTCAAGTGATGTGTGTAACACTTGAACTGGATCCTCAACTTCCATATCGGAGCACGAGAAGGAACTTGATTCCACATTTGACATTCAATAGTTTATATCAGCGCTTCTCAAAGTTGCAATATTCGCGACCCAATATTCAATCATAACATTCATCGCGCCCCCCTCATACAATAACAATGTATTGAATTCAATATTACTATACTTTGACGCCAAAACTACGATACGACTTAAACTTTAAGCACCCCCCGGCGTATATAAACGTATCGCTAAGCCAAAACGTTTATTTCCCCGGGCGTATATATACGCTCTTACGAAGTATGATCTTTTCTGTGCAGTGCTATCCATACAATTATTCCGAAGGCTTTAGAATGTAATAAAAGAACGTTGAAAATGTCTGGGAAGGATTTACTTATTTCAGATTCCTTGCTTCTCTTTATCCCCCCAATACATTACATACGCGCGTCTACGTGGAAAAAGGTTGGCATTGGAAAGCGAATTGCATCAGTTTTAATTGACAGTTAATGGATTAATTATAAACTGTACAAATTATCAAGATAAGTGTTAGTTTTTGTTTTTAATTATATAATTGACAAGCCCATTGTGTCACTGGTAATTAATAAACTTTTTCTTAACTTAGTATTGTTAAATTACACTGGTGTGCAAAAATTAAGGACGAGACGGTTTTTTCAATATAACTTTGTACAAAAGCTTTCCAAATCAACACATTTAATACCGTAAGATCCCCAATACGTAAGGACATGTGTAATGTAAGCAACACTTACTAAAAGAGAAATCAGAGGGATAAAAAGAAGCTTGATTGAAAAAGTAGCATGGAGCGCAATGCGACTGAAGGCCGAAACATCCCTGTGATGGGTGTCCAGCAAGAAACATCCGGTCTTTAGTAGGGGATATGATCTCCCCTGACTGCTAAGCAGGTTTCACAGCGTCTGCCCATGCTGAGAATGAGGGTGTCAATGAGTTCTTGAGGCATTGCTGCCCGTTCGTCTTGCAGCGCCAATCGAAGCTCCCGAATCGTTACTGGTGGTAAGGTACGAGCTGCCAAGCGTCTGCCTAGAAAATCCCATACATGCTCGATGGGATTGAGATCCGGAGATCATGCCGGCCAATCCTTACAATCAATATCCTCACTCTCTAAGAGCTGTTCGGCAGCTACTGTGCGATGACATGGTGCATTGTCGTCCGTGAAAAGGAACTGCAGACCCATAGCGCCTCTAAAAAGACGCACATATGGAAGAAGAATCTCATTACAATAACGGGTCCCGTTGACTGAACCTGCGTCGAAGATGTGAAGGTCTGTACGACTACCAAGCATGATGCCTCCCCAAACGAGAACACCGCGATCTCCATACCTGTCCCTTTCAATGATGTTCGAGGGATGATTGCGGCTTCCCCGCTCTCTCCAGATGAGTATGCGATGAGAATCGCTACTCAAACTGAATCTGCTCTCATCTGTAAAGATTACTCGTCCCCATTCATTGTCTCTCCAATTCCGA